GGAGGCAATGCACAAGGATCCACAGAAATGTGGCGGTGAAAAGCAGCAAAGACGGAGCTCAGAGTGTGAGAGAAACACAGCCTGTGCAGAACACATTTAACTTGATGCCCAAACTGAAACACTGAATCTTTTTGGACTGTTTAAATTGTGGCATTTCTTTATCAAATGTGCCTCATGTCAGTCACAACCATGTGAAAAAAGTAGTTAATGTCACCATCTGATCTCTTTTAGCATTTGTACTTTTTGTAACTAATGTTTTTCATGCTTTGAATTTAGTAACACAAAAGCGATTTTGTTACAAATTATTCTCTGGTGCTTTTTCTTTCTCTGTGCTCTCGCTCGGTTTTTGTTTATCTAGCATTTGCAGTCGATAATGAAACACTGTCGGCATTCCTTTGAAAGCAATGGATCCTAATGAGATTATCCTGAAATCAGCTCAACAGTAGTATTAGTAATAGTACAATAGGTGTTATGTTGGTCTACTGCTATTAGCAACATGTAAAGGCATTGTTAGCAGCAGAGACCACAGACTGCTTTTGGCAGTGTTAACATCAACAGCTTGCCTGATGAAGCCCACTGGCTCCTTTCCAAAAAGAAATTATTTACAAAAAAAAGGAATATTCTCTCCTTTTCAGCCAGTGGAAGAGCGAACAGGAACAGAGCACTATTGTGACGGCTAATAAATGCTGACAGTGTGTTTAAATTCTGCTCAGGATTCAATAACTTACACTACATCTCCATACCTAGCCTGACTGATTTGGCTGAACTGTCCCAACCACATATGCAGCTTCTTGACTGATCAGTCAAAGAGAATCAGTGAACAGCAAGAAGTTCAGTCACAGTCCTTCCATTTGCTGTCCATCTGTCTCTATGGTTTCTGCTCTACAGCAGCTGCTTGCCAATAGCTGACAATCGCTTTGAAGAGATGCTCCTTCATACTGAATTCTGATTGGGCCAGTGCACAGTGTGATATGATTCACTGCCTTTGCTGACAGCTGTGTACCAGAGTGAGAAGGTGATGGACAGGAGGCAGAGTCATAGAGACGACTGAAGCTGGAGAAATGAAGAAGAGGAAGGCAAAGATAATAGGGAAAAAAGTCATCTGAACGGTGGACAAAATTGGATGTGGAGAAAAAAGGAGGGAGAAAGAAAAATATAAGATTGAAAGGCAGAAGAGGAAAAGTTAGAAAGAAAAAAGAAATGTACAGTAGAAAGATAGAGACAGGATGGGCAGAGGTGCAGGTGTGACATTAAACGTCAGGTTTTAGCTGCTGAGCCTTGACACTGAATCCAAGATAAGAAGGGGGAGAAAAGATGAAGTATCCATCTGTTACATCCTGTCAGTGAAGAGAACTGACATAACATAACATGCATACAGTGCACCTATAACAATCAGCCCTACTGCCACATAGCTACATTTTCTGTAGTTTAACAAACGCTAAAACGATCAAGCACATTACTCCTATTCTCAAACTTTTCTGTGTCCCAAAGCATAGATTTAAAAATATTTCTACTAGTTTACAAATCACTAAAAGGGCCGAGCTACATTTCAAATCTTCTTTTGCCTTACGAAACATCCTGAACTCTCAGGTCAGCAGGAACAGACCCTCTGTGTGTTGCCAGAATTAGAACAAAAGAAAGTGAAGCAGCCTCTAGTTTTGATGGTCCTCACCTGTGGAACAAGCTCCCTGAGATCAGCTAAAACTAAATCTTTATTAGGCTTATCAATAAACCATGTCTGCAACCTCCTCTTAACCTTATATTAATTTCTAATGGGTGTTTTTCTGTGGTTACACACGGTATATTGTATATTGTTGTTGTTACATTTCTGTCATCACTGCCTGTGCATGCTTTACTTAACAACATGCACAGATATGTTGTTTATACATTGTAACTGTCTCTTTGCATTCCTCTTTCTAGCCCTCTGCATTACCCTGTGTCTAAATAATGCTATTCAGATAAATTTGACTTGACTGTGACAAGCTGTCTTTCATAAATTCATGAACGTAGAGTAGATGACGCTTGCATGCATGTGTGTGACATTTGACTTTGAAATCAAATACCAACATAGCTGATTCACTGCTCATCTCGTCAACAAATCACACTCTTGCATCTTGCCTGGAGTAAAACACCATATTACTCTGATGCAAATCAGCTGCAGTGGGCGTGATGCATGGAACAGGATCTCTTTAGGAAACTTGCAGGCAATACAAACCGCCACTACTCATGTTGATCTACTCTGCACCAACAAGCACATTCTGGCTTATGAATGGCCTGTGAGACGGAGCATTACAGTGGGCTGCAGTGAAAGAGCCTGTGGGTTCTTTATAGTGACTAATGTGTGTGTGACTGAGCAAGCGGGGTTAGTGGGTGTGTGTGTGTGCATATAAGCTGAAGCTTTTTCCCACGGTGAAGTGTAAGCATGACGGCATATTGCAAGTAGAGATGGCACGATACCACTTTTTTATGTCCGATACCGATACCGATATCATAAATTTGGATATCTGCCGATACCGATATGAATCCGATATAGTGTTTTTTAATCAACAAAACTGTTTTTTTAAATATCTTGCTGCATTTTGTATAAGTTCATACTCAAGTTTAAAACAACAACTACACTAAAGCTATTCTGTTATACCTGTATGCAAAAAAAAATATTTCATAGTTCAGCAATACTGATCAATCTAATAAACTTAAACCTACACCATCCTCCCTATTCTGGTATTTTAAAGAGTACTTAGCGTAAATATTAAGCAACCTAACTAATAGGGTTCCAACTCCCAGCAACAAAAAAATAAATAAAATAGGGAACCACACCCCACCCTCCACCTCATGATGCTTAATTCGAGTAATCAACTTAATTTGATGCAGTGTGAAAAAAAATGCACAGAAATCAATTATTTTTCAAGAATATTAAATAGATTCAACATCTTTCTTCAACAAATTGCAGACTGCACAGATGGTACCTTCCCAAAGGAAAAAGTACTATAGCTTACTAGGGTATATTAGACTTAATAGTTACTATATACAGTAATGACTTCTATCATTTTACATCAATTAAAACTTTGGGTGTTCAGATAATTATTTATTAAAAGCTGCATTATGAATAAAAGGTCTAGCCTCATTTAAATGAGAATAAGAAAGAAAAGTATGTCTTTGTGCCCCCTTTTCCCTGTTAATGCCCTATCGGCCCCCCTGGCTAAACTTTGCTAGATCCGCCCCTGCACAGTTACAGTCAGCTACGTAGAAAAAGATCCTGGTGTAGAAAGTAATATTAAATAATTCTAACAACAGCTGTATCAAGCTTAAACGTGCTGCTGTTGTTCAGCCGCTGGTTTCCTCTTTCTGGTGCAAAGTGGGCCAAAAACAAACTAGAGAGACGGACTCGCGACAGAAAAGCGATCAGCTGATCATTAAGCAGTTTCATGATTGAAGTAGCAGCAAGAAGAGGCAGTCGTTTGTTAAGCTTAACGCAGGAATGCTTTACAAACATTCAGAGATGGACTTACACACTTGCTTTACTTCTCTCGGGGATAACTTTGTCGGAGATGAAATGCCGGGTTGCTAGCGAAGCTCCACATGCTATCCAGACCACCGACAGGTCCCGCATGCCACAGCCGCTCTATCACGTGATGCATACTGCTCCGACGTGCTAACGTTCTGAGGTGAGTTACGGCGTGTTGCAAGTTTTGTGAGGTGCTTTCGTGATATTTAATGGATCGGATTACATTTTTTATTTTTCTCCGATATCCGATCCAGTAATTTAGGTCAGTATCGGACCGATACCGATACTTAATATCGGATCGGTCCATCTCTAATTGCAAGATAAATAAATAGGAAAGCCCATACTCATGAGCTCAAACACATACCTGCAGTGGGAACCTCAGGGGAAATGTGGGAAATGTGAGTGAAGAGCCACACGTGGGCGAGAGGGGATAATGGCACTGTGGGATGTCAATATGAGAGGCTGATGCTGCAGATCAGAACGTGATTATTTCAGAGACTTCAAACTATATTTCCTCAGAGGTTATAATGAGTGTACATGGGCATAAGTGTGTGCATATGTTATAGAAGAGTTTAAAGTCAAGTGTGCGTGTATGTGGGTAAATATGACAGAAAGAGTGAAAGGGGCCAGAAACACCGGCCTGAAGTCCTACCACTGCAGCACCTCATCATAATGATGACTTACCAACAAAAAGTTTAGTGTCAATGCATCCGATCTGATATGACACACACTGGGTACTTATGCAAACTTATGCAAAACTGCAAAGAGCTGTAAAGTGGGAGAGTTAAAAAAAAAAAACAACAACACAGAGGCGTGGATGTCCTGTCTCCTCGCTTGGAGAATCTCCTAATGCTCTGAATCCAGTTAATTTATCTTTTACTTAGTCAGTGGTAGTTTTCAGCTGTGCTTAGAGGATTAATAAAAAGTTGGAATGGATCTGGATGTTGGCCCTGAATCTAGTTTTGTTGAAGATCTCTTCCTGTTGCAAAAAGAGGTTTTTCCCTCCTACTGTTGCCAAATCTTACTGATTTGGTGTTTCTCTCTAAAACTGTTGGGCCTTCAAATATAAGTGCTTCTTGTGAAATGGCACTACATAAATAAGGGTCATCCAACACAAAAGCAAACTTTAAAAAAACACCTCTGGCAGATGTTTGATGAGGAGGTATCAGTGTGTGTGACATGCTAGCACGGTATAGATTTTCAAACCAGTCTTTAGTTTGTTAAACAAAAGAAAATTAAGTGCAAAGATTTTCACAACTAAGTGCCTCAGCAATCCTGTATCAACAACAGCTCCACAGCTGCTAAAAGCCCCGAGTGACTTCGGAGTTCTTTATGAACCACAACACGAAATTACTTTTCAATCAATTTATTTATACAGCACAGTTCATATAACGAAAGTTAATAAACTAAATAAAAATCCAAGAATTACAAGAGAAACACAAAATAGAAGAACTAAACACTTCATTAAAAAATAGAAAAGAGCCAAAAAGGTATTATTAAAATTTTTATTAGTCCAAAAGAAACTAATAAAGCGAAATAAAAAACTGGTGCACTCATTAAAAGCTAAATTAAAACAAAGGTTTTATGACTTAAATCTGTTTAAATCATCCAAAGCTATTTAAAGCTTGAAAAACAACAAACAAGCCTCAAAGTTTGGTGGCTCAGCTCATTTTGCCCCAACATTGGTTGGAAGGTTTAATAAAGCTACTGTTCTCTGAACGAAAGCACTGAACACTTGAACATAAATGGCTGGACTTTAACGTCCTTATCATGGACCAGCAGGCACCCTAGTGAACACACAACTCAATAGTTTAACACAACAGTTCAATGTTATGCAACAAAGCTAAGGTGGGAATCTCATTAATGCCCAAAACGTCCACGTCGGTGGGAAAGGCTTCTGAGAGAATTAATCCCACTCTTGATGAAGCCGACCATCACTGCTGACTAAAGCACCTTACAAGTGGGAGCGCAGCGGTCTGCTGCCAGCAACAGTGGAGACACTAAGCGGGGTGGACTTCACATAATAGCCACTCAATGAAAACAAAAGCCTTGGCCTTGTCAGCTGAGCCTCTCTTCCCTTCGCAGGAAAATCAAATAACCCCCAGTATCTCGTCTGCCTCGTCCAAGGCTGATACGTCCTTATTACAATGGATCGTCCTCAATTGATTTGTCTTTAGAAGCCTCAGGGAAAAAAAGGCCCAATTGATTTTATAGTTTACAGGGAGGCCATGTGAGAAGTTTGATGGTGAAGACACCTGCTTGGGGTAAAAACACACAGGTGTGATGCTGGTGTGGATGGCTGTGTTGGCGCCAAGGCTTCTATTGGATGTAAACAAGGCAATTTGTCCGATGCTGCAGCAGAGCACTTGTCGTTATAAGTCAAGCACCAGGCGGTGTCAGCCCCACCGTCTATCAATCACTCACATGTCAGGTTGCCACAACAGAGCAGGAAGCTGCAGATAAAGGTGGAGACACGGTGCGAGGTCAAAGAGACACTGTTTTTCATTTCTGGCAGAATGAATACGAAACAGAACAAAGCCTGATAGTGTTTCTTGTTGGGTTTAGCCTTTCAGAAATATAAAGAAAAGTGTCATTAAAGGCCGTGTCAAACACCCTCTCTGAACATTCATCTTTTACATTTAGATGCTGTGAAAATTCAATTGAAGCTCCTCATCATTAGCCTCTAACACGGCATTGAAGATAGGAACAGCATATCCGCATGAAAGGGAGAATAATTTACTGCACAATAAGAACCAAGCAGTTAATCATGGCTAGATTGTTCAGACTAAAGGCACAGTGATTTATCACTTTGACTCATATGTCTTCAGGAACTAAAATATTCTACAGTTCTCCAACTTACAAAGTTTACTCTGATGATTCAGTAGTATTTGTATATCCACAGAGTAAGGAGGAATTTTCCAAGAAAACTTAAAAAAATTACCCTTTGGATTATTTGTCTCAGTGCATTTAGAAATGTTCCTCAGACATTTTATACCTGAAGAAAGATGAGTCATTTCTCATAGATTCAGACTATAGAGCCCAAAGGTAAACTGATCGTACTGTGTTAAAATTGTTGGAATTTATCTTTGAGAGAAATAACATTAAATTTCTAACCTGGTATTAAATTTAACTCGTGATTTACTGTACAGTGAAGCAGCAAATCAGTCAAAACGTGGCAAAATTCAACCCAAATTTAGATCAAATCCACTTCAAGGTTATCTTATTGTGCACCTTTGAGCTTCTATTTCCAGTCTATGGTCTATTTTCACATTTTTCTGGATGTCCTGACAACATGTGACCAGATACTACAATTTCGACATGGACTTATAATAAAGCACATTACAGATATCTCCAGAATGTAACTGTCCGGTTTTGTGAAAGTGTCCACACACCGCGCAACAGATCAGCAATGTTGCCAGGAAGCTTGTTGGTTTTTTCTGTTTTATTAAAGACTGACGGGGCTGTGCACCTCGGCTTCATCCCTCAGGGTGAGACTGTCAGCACTCTCCTCTCCTGTAACATCATCACACATCTGAGGGAGAACTTTCAGTGCACACAACCTAAAGTGTGGCTTCCTGCCTCCCTGAAGATTCGTCTTCTCGTAACTATATCCTCTTTCCCAAAATGAAATTCCAGTTGACAGATGACTAGTTTCAGCACACACCACCGACACATCGAAAATGGAGGATGAGCTGGAAGTGGTGCAGAGATGCACTTGATCTTGCAAGTTGCGAGTCGAATTGTAAAACTTTATCACACCTCATGCAAATCAAAAACATTATTTTAACATCACTGTTAACAAATGTTATACCAGAACTAATGGGAATTAATTTATCCATTTAGTAAAACTGTCTCTAGTTATTTGTCCCACAAAACTAACCACAAGTTTAGTAAAAGCACAGCAGTAGTTTTATACAAGTCTTGTTCCCCAATAATCCTCTAATTTCTCCAAGTCATAGTTCTTCCTGCATATGGAGACACAGAGGGGGTGTGATGTACCCCCACATTTTACTCAGAAACAGACAAACAAGATCTTTCCACTCAGTGATTTGTTGGAGCGGTTCATCAGTGCATGAACCTCGATATCAGGCATGACTCCCTCTCACTGACATTATTCACCAGCAGAAAAGGTCAAAGCATGATGGCAGCAGAGAGAAATTGATTAACTTGTCTATGTGTCTTTCCACATCTTTGAGTCACCCAAAGACCTTTCTCCTGCTGAACCGGTGTCCTGTGAACAGAGCAGCATGCGGCAGGAATCTGCGGTGTGACTCAAACCTTCCAACACGACTGCCTGGGGGAATTTTTTTACCGTGATGTGGCTGGAATTGATGGCACTGTTGGGATACGGAAGCAGGCAACAAATATTTGTCGTGTCGTGCAGTGACACAGCTTAAATTCAAAACTCATCAGCAGCTGGAAAAAAAAAAGACCTTAATCCTCTTGTGCCACCGTTTGAAAACTCGACGTCAATGAAATCCTCCTGTAGGTGAAACATTGTGTCATGTGGGGACAGTAGAGCTATTCACATGACCATGTGTGTGTATATAAAACTGTATTTCACCTTTAATTTACTTAAAACTACACAAAGAAATTCTGCCATAACATGGCAACCATGTTTACCCACAGCAACGGTGATGTAATGCATACAAATGATACTGTCCTGCGTTGTTATGCTGAACAACATGTAAGTATGGAAACATGATTATACATCAGGGTTTGATCATCATTTAAAACTCTCATTGAAAATTTTGCACACCCTGAAACTTACATGTCTTTTTAATAATAACACCCCCTTTTTTTAAATGCTTGATTTCTGCAACTTTTTCACCTTTATTGGATCATAATGATCAGCTCCTTAAAAATGCAGCTGACCACAACCTCAAGAGGTCAGACACAACCTACCATTGTGCTTTTTTATATATATTTTATTACTGGCGGTGGATCCCATACATCACTGTTCTCTATTCTGCTATTAAATGTCAGTCTCTGTATATTTTCTGACTTATCTTTGTACATAGATGTGTAAAAATCAGTATGGTCTTTAAACTAACAATATTTCACATTTGTCCCCAGAGTCAAAAAAGACCCAAGCAAAAAATAAATAAATATATGTCACCATTCTTTCCTGAAATAAGCAACGGAAAGATATAAAAACAGAACTGGCAACTGTGGGGGAAATTAAGGCCAGTTTAGAGGACTGAGGAAAGATTTATCTTGGTCAGTGTCTTGAAGTTGTTTTTCATATATTATTGCAAATGATTAGTTAGACTTCAGAGATGGACTCAAATGCAGGAGGCAAAAGAAAAATAAGGGGGGGGGGGGGGAACAAGCAGTTGATCGCACATGAAGAAAATCCACAGAACCTGCACACCTTCACAGAGTACGGAGGACTGGACTATATGCTAACTGAGGGCTGCTTGGGGATTAGACACAGCTGTGGAACGAGGTGCACGTGCAGGTAATTGACACAGGTGAAGACCATCAGACAAGGAGGAAGCAAAACCCAAAGCAGCAGACAAGAGGAAACGTATCAAAGTAAGCAGAAAATGAGCAATCACCATACTGAAACAAGGAGCCCCTCAAAAATCAAAGATTAATAATAATCAGAAATGAATTCATTCATGGGGGAACACAGAGGAAATGACTTAAAGGCTACCAACATAGACATAAAAATGAACACTTAAAAAACACAGGGGGGACTAAGGCATTGTTACAGAGATGAGACAAAAGGAGAAACAAACAGGGAAAAGCTGAGGGAACTAAAAACACAAGAGATAAACTCAGAAAAGGAACTGAAGCTAAATAGAGAACAAGAACTCTAAACGAAGAAGAGTAAAAACATATTCAAATATTACAATGAAACTAAAGCTTACGGTAAAGATGTCAAAACAGGAATCCAGTATATCCTATATATTCAATGTAAAAATCAAAACTCCAAACACAAAGTTATGTTATGTTTCCTGACAAATGTGAAAATGATGCCCAAAGCATGTTAAACTAAAACTAAATTAATGTTTGCAGCTGTGTTTTCATTTCTCTGCCCCCTTCCTAGAACACACCTACTTATCCACCTCTCCATTTGTCCTTCCCCTCTATCTCCTCGTCTCTGATTCCTGGGGTTCAGCGATTGTTCTTGTTATTGCTGAGGAGCATACAGGGGTTTTGTGTCAGTGTGTTTGACGATGAGACGGCTGCGGTGAAAAATGAGGTGGGTGGTGGCAATTTATCAGCACTTGAGCGGCATCCTGCCAGAGGTAGGCAAGGCGGCACAAAATGCGATGCCGAGGGTTTACTGTGTGCGACCATGGTGGAATTAATGCAGTTTCTCCTCCGATGCATCAGACAGACGGGAAGGAGGATAAATAAAAAGAAGAAGAAAAAGACAGAGAGGGGAGGGTCGTTTCTCTATCTGCAGAATTCCAGATAAAGCATCGGCTTTTCTCCTTTAGAAACTCCCTCGACATCTTACTCCTCTCCTCTTTCCTCCTCCTCCTCTTCTTATCCCAGGGAGTCAGTCTTTAAGTGCAACGTGTCCTTTTTACTTTCCCCTCTCTTCTGTTTTCTATGCAATTTGTATCTCTGCTGATGTGGAAACTGATGACAGAATGCCGATAGAAATGGGAAATACACAAGGAGAGAAACTCTTTTATAGTCCAATGATGCCAACTCTTCCTCTCGCCTCCTCCCAGCTTTTAGGTTTCAAATCATCTCGTTATTCATCTCCTTCCCCATCATCTCTGCTCACAACCTCCTAAATCTGATCACGCAAACCCCTGGCCATCCTTGCACTGCCCGACCCTTTTGCAGTTTGTCTTCTTACTTATCACCCCATCAATGCATAAACACAGAAATGCACACTCATAGTATACACACTCTTCACTGTTACTGTACTATGTCAGCCTCAGGCTAGCTGTGCAACTCTCTCCACTGGGAAGGGTGCAGGAAGGGAAACACACATCAAGGCAACCCAGAGTCAAGCAATAACAAGTAGAGAAGAAAAGAGAAAGAAAACATGGATACGAAAAAAATGCCAGAGAGTCATGTTATTAAAAAAAATCTTGGCTGAAGGTTGCCCTTCACTAGTTCAAAATTACTAATGACTCCATCTGCTAATATCTCAACACAGAGTAGAATGTGCCAGTGATTGCATCTGACTGCCAGATAAAGGAGGAGTCACAGAGCGGATTAGAGGGAGCTAAATATATACAAAGCACAAATAAATTTTGATGAAGCTGAGCCAGTGAAACTTGAACAAGTGAGTGGGGACTGTGAAATGAAGCCTAATAAGAAAAGGAAACGGGAGAAGTATAGAAGGGAGTCCTCGGGGGATTCAGACAAAAATGGCTTCATCATAATTCCAGCTTCAATTTCAACATTAAATTCAACAGGGAGCATTTTCTGTTTTCTGTTGCACGCACACACAAAACACAGAGACAAAGAAAAAGTGCAAAACAGAAACGGTGAAAGAAACAGCCCAACAAACAGTAATAATGCGTAATAAAGTATATTTGGATTTGGGGATGTTAGAGATAAAGAGAGATTGTAAATACACGCTGGGCAGCTCATTGGACACTTAAAAACACGATTCCATATATTTGATTATGAACAGAAGAAATATGAAAAATCTGATGGCCAAATGTTTGGATTTGCAGTTATTGTGAACGCCTACAAAACAAGCCCCGAGAACACACTGCACGCTTTAAAATGCAGGTTTAAGGCAGCATTAATCAGTGTTTTTTGCTGCTTGGGGCAGAATCACACAGAGGAGGCTGTAACCCAACCCTACTGCAGCTTGACACTGGTTTTTGACAACCTAGGTTGTTATTTGTGTGTCATGTACTCATCAAAGTAACACGTCTGAGAAAGCATCGAGAACAAAGCAATGAAATCTCACCCAACAGAAGTGAGCACACAATCAGACTGGCTGTTAAAAAGCCAACTGTTCAGCTAGACTATCTATATCACTTTAGTTGGAGGTAGAAAATGAACACAGCTGAAATGTCAATAAATTTTATTGCACGGGAAAAAACTGTGTTTACGTCTCCGTTTTCTCTTTCCAATTTGTATGTTTAGCTTTTTGGTTTGCTGAAAACTTGTTTAACCCTCTGCTCGTGTAAATCAGTGGCTCACAAATGATATCGGCTTACTCACTAACAATCATCTCTAACTGTACTCCTTCACATTAACTTAAATTGTAAATTGATGGTGTGTGCGTGCAGCAAAGAGAATGAAAATGAGGAACAGATGGACACAGAGAGTAAGAGGAAAAAGCTATCATTACAGCTGTGTGCCCCTCATTCACCTGAACATGTTTTATTTACTGTCCCTCAGAAGCACAGTTGGCGTAAGAAGTGTTTGTTCTACAGTCTGGGTCAGTCTGGGCCGAGCGCCTGACACACACAGCCGGAGGCTACAGTCCTGCAGGACGCACTGAGCCGCGGCGCCCTCTGCACGCAATGATGAAGCAAACTTTGGGATATTGTGTCGACCTGAAATCTAACAATGATACTAAATTTGAACTTAAGGCAAGACTTTTGATCTAAAATAATCTCTCTGTCACAAATGACATGTTTCAAAAGTAAAAAAATCCCTGTTTGATTCAATGGACTCGAGGTTTTTGATGCTACAGTTCAAAGTAACTGAAGTTAGCTAACATTAGGAAACTCCTCTACCTGTGCTACTGTTTTTCAGTCCCTTTAACCTATTGGTAAATGTGGAGTTTATGTACTTATAGTGAGTTAACTGTAGTTTTTGCCCACATACAGAGCAGTTTACTCTGCATATTGTTTCATTTCATAATTTTCGTTGCATTTTCTAGGGCTTGTGTAGCCAACAGTAGTGTTTAGCAAGATTTAGTTATTAACAGGCCACCTTAATTGAGACTAGAAACAGAGGAGAGGTTTCTGACACAACTTCAGCCACCCCTCGGTCTGCTGTGATAGGACATGACGATGTGAAGCAGTTAAAGTTCCAGTAAAACTTACCGAATCTGCAAAGATTAGAAAAATGTGAAAAACGACCAGTTGCATGGACATATACATCTGCCACCGCGGCACCAACAAGGATGGGCTGGTCGTGTAAGCACATGGTTTAGAGTCAGGCGATGGGGAGTGTCCAGTGAAACAAATCTGGGTGGTTACAGTGCCATAAGGTGTTAAGATGCATCTGAGCAATGGCGCTTTATGTTTTGCACCAGCCATACAAATCCACTTAACTCATTTACTTATGCTCTTTAAAATTTTGCACAGGTATTCTTAGCTTTCTAAGAAAAACATTTAGGCCATTTACACTAATATTTTCTGACTTTAATTTGCTGAAGAGAAATGAGAGCTAATTTACTTTGCTAAAGTATTAAGTTCACGTAACGTATCTTTTTTAAGTACGCCACATTAAAAATGAGTACATTTCTACAAAGATATATTTGTGTGAAGAAGCATAAAAAATCTCTCCTAACACGTGCCAGACTCAAAAAAAGATGTTAGCTTAACTCCAATATAACGCAGTCTGGGCACAAACACACATCTTCGCTCATGACGGGCCAGTTAATCAGTCCAAAGTGAGCTGAGACTGAGTGATTGTGTTTTAAAAATGTCAGACTGACAGCCGGTAATAGGCGGTGGTACCTGTGTTTCTGAGGTGGAAGAATAGAAACACCAAATGCCTCTGTAGCTCCGTCCTCCAGTTAATACTCATGCTGAATACTACCAGCAACAAGCTGTGTCCTTGTACTGCTATAAGTTTTTAATGAGTGCGGCTGCTCCCAACAGAGCTCATCGGCCCAACCTTGGCCCGACTAGTTCTCCAACATTATCCTTGACATTTTAGAAATGTTTTTGTAAAGGGCAGTAAATTTATATAACAGCAGGGTGTAGATTGAACTGATCTCACTAACTCAAACTGAATAGTTTGCAGATGGCTTATTGAAAGTTTGTGACAATGCTACAACGGGGCTATCAGAAGATGAAACAACAGAACCTGGACATACTGTAACTCACTAATACTAGCACTCAACCTGTTCAGCCTGTGGCTCATCAGCTTCTTCCCTCTGTCATTTTCTCTCCTATGGAGATGCACATACTTTCCAGCTCAATCTTTCTTCCTAGCCAAAAGTCCTTTTCTCCTTCCTTAGTGTCCAGCCTCACATGCTTCTCCCTCTATCCAGAGGATACAACAAACACATTCATGGCAGTTTCTTTCACCGCATCAGCTGTACTTTCACAGTCATCTGGCAACTCCTTCCTACCACTCAGAGCTTGTCTCAAGTCCGTCCTGGACTCTTGCACAACATTCTTCCGTCTTCAGCTTCCACCATTTAATCCTTAACGTCTGCCTTCACTTGCTTCCTCTTCTTGATTTCCGAATCCATCCTACAGACTATCATTAAATGTTGCCTAGCTACAGTCTTCCCTTGACACCACCGTGGAGTCTCCTTTTTCAGAATGCACCTTCTGCATAAGATGTAGCCCACCTGTGTGTCACCCTGTGCTCCTCCTGGTTCTTGAATTAATCAAAAGATCAAACTAATCTATATTAATCTTATACTTGGGGACTTGGGGAATCCACATAGTTTATAATTTTTCTGAAACAAGCTATGCTTTCCCTGCTCCCTTTAAACCTTACTCACTAAACTTGGTAGTTTTCTCTCTGTCTCGTTTTAATCGACAACATTATTATGGAGCACAAAAAATAAATGCTCACCAGAAACTTCATTAGTTATAGTCTGACCCAATTCTCTGGGTGGTCCAAAGACATGCGTGGGGTTAGGTTATCTGGTGATTCTGAATTGGCCATAGGCATGAATGTGAGTGTTAATGGCTGTCTGTCGCTCTGTATTAGCCCTGTGACAGACTGGTAACCTGTCCAGGGTACACTCTGCCTCTCGCCCTATGGCAGCTGGAATAGACTAAATCCAGACTTGGATTTTTACAGTAATTCCCATGTAAAAGACACAGCACCAAGTAGACCACTGAGCCCACTCAGCCCATAGATGAAGGGTTACATAAAACCCTACTGTAAACATAATGGATACTGTTATGATGACTGTCATTTACTTTGTGCTGTGTTTAAATGCAGAACTGAGACGGCAAAACAGCAGAAAGACAAACTGAAGCCGAGGCAGAAGCAAACTGTCATGCAGAGTAAATCACAACAGGTAAGCACATCCAGCATATCTCGCTATCACTCACATTACTGATAAGCTTTTATCGTCTTGCCTTGACTCCTTTCCTTTTCTGTCTTACACAGCCATTGATTTGTTTTTCCACACTCTTGCTCTGTCTCTCTCCTTCTGCAGCTCCTGTTGTTTCCCTCCTTTATTGGATCTCCTCGTCTCCTCTCCTGCTGCTCCATCTTTCGTGTGTCTCTCCTCTTTCCGACAGACACAGAGACTATTTCTCTTCCTCTGCCACCCAGGGACAGAGTCTTCACAAGGTTAGATATTTTAAATCAGATAGACTAGCACTGCCGGAGTAGTAAGTGTCCAAAACGGGTCAAAATTAGAGAGCTCCTTTAAATGATGTTGAACAGAAATACCTCACAAGTCTAAAGCTTCAAACACAGTTGGAAAAGAGCTCATAAATCATTGGAGTCACGCAAAAATAAAAAATAATAACGATAAAAAACAAAATTGGATGATGAAATATTTTAGGCTTATGTTTTGATCACATTACGTCTGATCCACCACAAACGGAAAGAGAAGAGAAACAAAACAAAAACAAAACAGAAGAAAATGAATGGATGGATGAACAAACAGTACAAAGCATTTAGTTAATTAAAAACTGGCATGAAAAAGAACCTATTATGCTCTTGAAAAATGTGCATTTTTAGCTTTAAACCTCTTTCAATTGGCTGCCCCTAAAAAAACAAAAGCGATGGAAACCTGCAGATCCTGGAGTAAAAAAGTTTTCAGAAATCGAGCACTGAAATCAGTCTGATGCTCAGACAGACAATAAGGAAAGCATAGTGGATCCACTTAAGTGTTGTGGTAGTGGGGTGTGGTTTGTGGCTCAGCTGTGGGAGGACAGAGGGGGCGGGTGGTTCAGGGTGCACTGCTAGGGGATGCTGCGTGGAACACCTGTTACATAACGTCCAATCAGCCTCCTCTATTCATGCAGTAGCACGTTGGGACCAGGTGGAGGAGCTACAGTGAGGAGGAGAGTTGACGGCAGCTGAAAATTCAGTATCGAGGCACAACGCCCAATCCGAGCACTGTGCAACAAATAAAGAGCACAGCAACTTGTGTCTGTGTGTGGTGTTAGGAAGGTGGTTCTCACCTGCTCCTATGCAACATCCCTTTTTTCTGATAGAAAACATTTCAAAGTAGCAATTTCCTACAAAACGTTCAGCATGCATACAAATCATAGTCTTGCTATTCTTTAAATGAAGCGATTACCTGCCTAAAGTGTGTACTTCAGCTCAAACCACTAAGGTACAGTGCATCTGATCAAATGTGCCTGCAGGGAGTGAGAGAGTGAGAGGGTAAAGCTGGGTTAAGGCCTGGAGGAACCCGCTGTAGCCCTGCCTGCTCAGCACAAAGCCTCTCTCGCTGTCTCAGTCTCTTTGTAGAGAGGGTGATCAAAGTGTGGAGCGCGCTCAGAGGATTCACAAAGTCAGGAAGCTTCTGAGCGGATGAACACGGACATCCCATTATGTTTCCAAGTAGGGTATCAAGGGACGTGAAGGTGCACACATCCTCAAGCGCGTGAGTGTGAGCTCGCTCGAGCATCTGCACTCCAGACCTAAAGGTTTGATTCTGTGCACGATTAAAAATACTCGGGAAAATGAAAGATGATTGCGTTTTCGAAGCATCTGAGTGTGCTAACTGTCTGCAGCTTTGATCCGTAATGAGGAAGGTAGGGTAAGATTCGGCAGCGCTGCCTGTTATTTCAGATGAGAATCAGAGGATCAAAGGCTTTTTCTCTCCTCATCCTTGCCTCTCTCTGACTGCCTGTGTGTCTCTGCTTCACCTGAAGTGTCCTTGGTTCACCTCTGGCCTGTCCACACCCCCCTGAAAATGCAGAGAACCCGTCAAAGGCTCTTCAACATAAACTTGTCCACTCTTCAGTGGCAGGATGGAGTTATTTCCTGTCACAGAAGACAAGTTGTAGGACTGCTGCTTCACAAATACTGTAGATGACCTCTGACCTCCCTGAGGATGAAGGATAAAGCTCAAATATTTTCTTACAGACATCGGCATTTGTGCCGTGCAGTCCATAAATGTTTGGAACAGCTTTACGGGTTCCTTCCTGCCGCTCTCCCTTCAATGCTTGAACTAATAAGCAGTAAGAAAACTGACTCTGAGACAATTTCAGTTTTTTGAAGACAACTCTATCTTCTGTTTATTCATCTACATAATAGATTTGCTTAATTCCGGCAGCAAATTAGATGAGAATGATGAGGCTTTGTACCAACAATCTGGGCTTTACTTTTGGATTTGGGGAATTTCCTTTGAGTCACTGGCTTTAAAGCTTTTTTTAAGACTGTAAATTACTTTAGCGATGAAGTCACTACACATACTTTGGAGTGTGTATGTGTGAGCGTGTACAACAAAGTGTGAGACCCACACGTGTAAGATTTTTACGCTTACCTCATTCTCTGAATCACGTATCTGCAGATGGGAAGTGTATGCGAAGGTATTCTCTGGAGCGACAGTCGGCCTGCGGAGGAGGAGGGGGAGGATGAGCATGAAGTGAGAAAAAATGAGATTCCACATTTAACACAATGCCCCAAACTGTGTTCAGCAGCGGAGCTGCGATCCGAGGTGAGCAGGAACGCCCTTACACCCCGAAGTCATTCCTCAGAAGTTTGAAGTTAAAATTAAGTGCCTTGATGCTGACTTTGTACAAATCTCTTCTGTTTGCTACCAAATCTGGCAAACAAGCTAAATGATACAGCAACTGTTTGCACATACGTTTCTGAGGCAGCATTCTCAAACATCATTAGATTTCAGAAATTTAGTTTTGGGTGAATTAAAATCTCCAATTCTTAAATAGCAGCTCTGACTAAACTAACAGAAGAGACAACACGTGCAATATGATCAAGGGGCCAAAAACTTCACCAGTTTGTTACTTCGGGACAATCTGATATCTTATATTTAAATATGTAAATGAGACATGATCTATTATCTGACACCACAAAAGCTTTTCTTCATTGTCCTTCAAAGTGCAGGCTTGCCTACGCTTCCTTCCTTTCTTTCCTTTGGAATCAGCTCAGAGTTTGGGTTTAGGATACAAACACTCCCTACTTGGAAAACCAGGCTTGGTTAACGCTTCTATTTTCTGTCATTTACTTGTGTCTACTCTCCTGTACTTTCTGTTTTTTGTTCATGGCCTTTCTTTGCCCCTCTTTTCTGTCTTCTCTTTCCTCTCCCTGCGCCTGGTTCTGCCAGAGGTCTCTTCCTTTTAAACGGGGGTTCTTCTTCGCTTTCATGAACAAGTGCTTGCTCAGATGGGATCAGGAGATCATTGGGGTTTTCTCTTTAATAGAGTCTTTGCTGCTGACATTATAGAATACCTTGAGATGACTGCTAAGGGGAACTGGTGCTACAGAAAGAAAATTGATTTGACCTTGCTGTGGGTCGGGGGGTTGGGGGTGGGGGGTTCAGTCACTGTTAGTTTAATGTTTTTATAACACTTAAATGTACACACACAAGTCCTTGACACATTTTTCTCTAATACTCTGCAGGAAAACATGTTATTTCAGAACAGCCACAGTCTCAATGTGAGACGATACCAAAACAAAATATGTAACAGGTGAAAATGAGTTCGTGAGGTAAGGTTTAACATTCACGTTTTTTCAGGCATCTTGGTATATTCATCAGATTATTGGTTTATTTGTTTTGCACTTGCATAAATTTCTGTCTAAAAACTGACTTGAACATACCTTTTTTAAATTTGTGTGTTTTGTGGATATACAAATAAATCAATCCCACACTGGAAGAATAGCAGTGTTACCTGACATAACAGCAAAAAGTATAAAAATAAAGAAAGAAAGAAAAGATAAAAAAACAAAACAAAAACCTCAGTTTGATAGTTTTTGGTTAATTTGTGACTTCTTTCCAACACATCAAACAGAAGTTACACTCACCAGCGTTTGATCAACGCTTTGATTCAGTGAGGCTGTTTCAGTTCATTACGCCACACTGATGTGAAATACTTGCGGGAAAGCGGTGGAGTGTGGGTGTGTTGAGGGAGACGAGCACTTTTAAATCAAAAGTGAAGCTGCAGTGCGAGACAAACGAAATAAAAAATAAAATAAATACACTTGACAAAATGTAAATCATTATGTTTCTCCCAGTGCAACATGCTTACCGTAAAGCTGGGATTTTCTTAAGACTGGAAAACTAATAACTGAATCACCTCTATCACTCTGCTGAATACTTCTCATGCTGCCTAAGGCTACACTTAAAGGCATTTTAGCCATCGGCACGCTCATCTAATCTGAATGTGGTGACGTCACTTTTCCAAACTGAACTGTGGATCTGTTGCCCTTTTATGGTGCTCGTTGAAAGACGATCGTTGAAAGTTCTCACAAAGTCGTCCAGCCACTCTGACGGAGCTGTGTGTTCAGACTGTGGTTGGAAAAGAAGGAGCTGATCACATCGGTGAACCGGTAACACTACTGATCCACTACTGCTGCACTACTGGGCTCCAGTTTCATCTGCTAGGTTCCTGTAGGACACTCCCACAAAAGACATTCTTCTTCTCAAGTGTTAGATAAAGATAACCCTTTATATGTGAACAGACACGGAGTGTAGCTCATGTTAACAGCTCACAGATGGTTTATTAGCATGGATGTAGGCGGCTTCCAGCTGTGAACAGTGAAGCCAATGAGGAAGCGCTTTAATCTTTTTTCATAAGAACTTAGAACTTAATTTATTGTCATTGTACAGTTGCCTGCACAACTAAATTAGGTAGCAAAACCACAAATATGCAAGAAAGTGACAAATTTCAAAACAACAATATAAAAACAGAGGGCAGGATGTTGAATAGGTGGAGGTTAAGATGGAGGTGGTCTTTTAAAATCGCCCTGGATTTGGAGAGACATCTATAACTGTCAATGGAGTCCAGGGAGGGGAGTGGACGGCCGATCACCTTCTTTGCAGTTCTCATGAACTGCCACACATATACTACGCTGAAGAATGGGTAACATCCTGATGGCATTACTTGAGAAAAGTAATTAAATTCACTTCGGAAAGTTTTCTCAGAGTCTTCTTACTTTTACAGCATTGAGCCCTCTGATTTTTTCTCTCTCATGCAATCAGCAAGCAAATGAGTTTCAAGGAGCATCCCTAACTTTTATAAACCAAGCATTTCCTGCTCTACGTATGATTATCACACTGCACCTGTTTGATCAACAGAAAACGGCAGTAAAAATGCAGAGAAGAATCAGTTTAAAACTGGTTCGCTCTGGCCACAGCTCTGCCAAGGTGGGAGCTCAAGAGGTGAACAGATGTGCACCGTTGGCTCTCTACAGGGGCTTTCGATACATTCAGGCCACACATATACAAACACTCACACAAGAAGAGCAAAGGCTCTGGTCCAGTGGCCCACGGCAGGTCTTTATCCTCCAACTCCCCCAAAGGCCCTTAAGCCCTGCAGCTATGCCTGCATGCTCTGCTCTGTCTTCCCTTGAAATCCATCCTTCCTTTACCAATTCATTCTCCCTCTACCTGGAATTCACCTCTCATCAAGCCAAATCCTTTTTATCACTCTACTCAAACTTTTTCCTCCAAACCTCAACCTTTCTCCCCCACGCCTCTCTCATGTCCACCCCAGGGCTTCCTCTTATGCTTCTTTCCAACTCTCCTCCAGTTTCTGTCTATGAAGGTCCACAGTCCAGTGACTGCAGCACCAGAATGTCAGACAGCCATATATTAACATTTAGACAGCCTCAGGGCCCGAAGGGGAGCTCCAGTTTTAAACAGTCACATCCTCTCAGCACATTCAGAAAAGTTGCACAGTCCGACTGCTACAGCTGGCACCAGTGGAGCTCTGCTGTCAATCTTCACCCATGTTTTATCCTGTCAGCTGTTCGACGTGACTGTTTTACGGCTGTGTAGCCTTCTCGTTCTCTGAGTTTCTCCTCACAGGCATGTCTCTTTTCTCTTCAAATTCCACTAAAGACATCGTGCTGTGATGCTATCATTATCAAGTCAATGAGATGCTGCTCCACAGAGAATCTGGTTTTTAAAGCAGAACAAATGAGGAGATTCATGCTTGGACTATGAAGTTATTTACTTCGATTAATCTGTCAGGTTGTGTTATTTTTTTTAAATTGAGCCATAAAATGTCTAAACAAAAAATACACAACCCATTTAACCCATTTGGCAAAGCAAACTGAAATATGTTCAATTTTCAAAGAAAGAAAGATTAATCATTTGAGTCTCTGTCAGACTGCCAAACAGCTGGTTTACCATCTTAGTCCAAAATAAACTATTGTGAATTGTATGCTTGAAAAACTGTGTTGATCCCCTAATTGAGCTAAATGGAGATAATGAACGGAGGAACTAAAAAAGTAGTATATCTGCTATCTACCAGAAACCCTGCATGAGAATAGTTTAATGTTTGCACATAAATTAAGCTTTACCGTGCACGACAGCCCTACAGATGATCGTGCAGAGACACGCTGTGTCGTAGAAAACATACTTTCTAACCAGGAGCGTGGGTTTCACGTTGAATCGCATTTGTCTGCATTTTTGTTAAACATTTGCAACTTCTAGAATCATTCGACCACATACATTTAAAGCACCTAAACACTAAACAATACCACAACATGTGTAAAGGTAAAGCAGCGGTCATAGTGTGTGTCATGTCAATTACAGACTGTATGCAAAAGATGGGCTTAGCTATCGCTGGACCACAGCGCCACCCACTGCCTTCTGGATTCTGCATTTTGACGACTTGTCCTTATCATTTTTGTACTGGTTAACACATTTTGCCTCATATGCATAAGATCAAAACCAGGAAGAGACAGAAACCCAGTTGCAGGATAAATGGGAGGTTGTGTCAGGAAGGGCATCCCCAAAATCTGTGCCAAATTAAGCATGTGGATCAATCTGTTGTGGAGAAAGTATCTTTTTATCATTGTTGGTCACTGTCGTGTTTTCGTTTGTTTGTCTGGTTTTTTGGGTGGTGTTTAGAGCCAGAAGTGCCCATATTTAATGTGCAGTGAAAAAGCATCATTACTTGCATAAATACACTTTGTAAGTGAAATGCAGAGACGTGTATCTGCTAATTAGTCTGTGAAGGTTCTCAGTCATCCAGGTCATCGTAGTCAAAGGAGCTTGCAAAGAAAAGTGAGAAGCTTCTTCTCGGATGAGAGGTGAAACGTCTTCAAGTAACTTAAAGAAGTCCAGACGCTTTTCTTTGCAAGCTCCTTTGACTATCTGCTAATTAATTGTAAGTAACAAACTAATAAAATACTAGAATTTCATTTACTAAACTGGAGCACCACCAAACGCCAAACAAGCAGTTTTATTTGTTAGATAATTCGATAAAAAATGTTCCAAAAGGTCAAGTTTAGTGACGTGATTTAGGGAAGGTGAGGCATCGCAAACAGCGATCGGCTGAGGTAGCCTGTGCAGCACACCTGTCAATCAAAGCAGCCACGCCCCTAACAACAAGACCTAGCAGCATCCGAAGAGATTGTTTTTGAT